TCCGGGGGGACATTGGGCTGGGATCCCGCTGGATAACGTGGAATAATGGCTGCAAGTCACCAGTAGTTAGCTTTAGAGAAGGTCTTATCCAATTGATATCCCCTAGAAGTTTTTGAAAATCATTAAGGGATTTAAGATGGCCCATTCTGATTTGTATTTTTTGCAGTCTGATTTGTTTCTGAGTAATTATAGTCCCTAAGTATGAGAACGGTAAAGTTTCCTGGACTTTCTCTGGGGCAATACATAGCCCTGCCTTAGTAAGGCTGTCTCTAAGGTTTCCATATACTTGGTAGAGGACCTCTTTGTTGGGATGAGAAACAAAGCTATCGTGCATATAATGGATGATATAAGCTTCTGGGTATAGTTGACGTGTAGGCATGATGGCTCGGCTGACAAAAGTTTGGCAAATTGTTGGACTATTTGCCATACCCTGGGGGAGAACTTTCCATTGAAAACATTGCATAGGTTCCCTGAAGTTTATCGAGGGAACGCTAAATGCAAAGTATTTCTTGTCCTCTGGATGAAGAGAGATGGTGAAAAAACAGTCCTTTAAATCTATTATAATTAAATGATGGTCTACCAGGATGGCTGTGGGCGAGGGAAGCCCAGGCTGTAGGCTTCCCATGACTTCCATGGCAGCACTAACTGCTCGCAAGTCCTGCAATAGTCTCCATTTCCCTGACCTTTTCTTTATAACAAATGTAGGGGTGCTCCATGGGCTGGTGGACGGCTCTAAATGTTCAGCAGCAAGTTGTTCTTGAACTAATTATGTGGCTGCCTGAAGTTTCTCCTGAGTAAGGGGCCATTGGTCAACCCATACTGACATGTCTGTGAGCCATTTGATTTTGAGTGGTCTGGAGTGGGCTGTAGGCGATACCAAGGGCCCTAGGGTAAATCCTGATAACCTAAGTCCAAATTTGTCATTTTGGGGGGTGTTTTGTACAAGTTCAAGCCTGCCCTGCCCTAGGGCTCCTAGTCCCTGTCCTGGGACATATCCCTGATTGAACATAATATTTGTGGCTGAGGGACTAGGGCTGTAAATCATAATTGACATTTGGCTTAGGATGTCCCATCCCCAGAGGTTAACTGGGAGACCTTCAAGGACATATGGAGAGAAAGTCCCAGACTGTCCCTCTGAATGTCTCCAAGTGAGTACTTTGGAGGTCTGTAAAGGCCCTTTCACCATTCCTATGCCTTGGAGATTGGTTAAAGCCTCCTGCGTTGGCCAGGAGGATGGCCAATGTTGTTGGGAAATTACAGATACATCAGCTCCCGTTTTGAGGCCCTGGAATGGCTTTCCATCTAGGACTAAATTTAAAGTGGGGCGCTCCTGTCCAACTCATTGGACCCAGAATGCATCTGAGGACCCAAAGCCTCAGGAACCTCGCACCTGTTGAGAGGCGGTCCCGCCTGCAGCTACAGTGGGGATGAGTACTATTTGGACTATTCTGTCTGTGGATAGTACCTGAATAATTTCTCAAGGATATCCTGCCATAATCTTTATCTCCCCGGTACAGTTAGAGTCTATGACTCCAGGAAAAACCCGAAGTCCTTTCATGGTCCAGCTATTTCCGCCGAGAAGAAGTCCCACCGTGTTAGGCAGTAGAGGGCCACAAACTCAGGTGGGGATGGCCTGAGGACCCGTATCTGGGGTTAATGTGAATCTGGCAGTGGGACTAAGGTCCAGTCCTGCGCTCCCTGGGGTGGCGCAATACAATTGCTCTACGCTGCGCCGGGTTGGCTGCTCAAAGTTACCTGAGGTGTTAGCAACAGAGCCGTCATTATTTGGTGGGGCCAGGGCTGGCCCCACATTGGGTTTCCCGAGATGGGCTGTTCATTGACATCATACTGAGACCGACATTCATTTGCCCAATGTCTCCTGCGCCGGCATCTGGGGCAGATCCCAGGGGTGCAGCCGGGTGGATTTACTTGTCCAGTCAGCCGCTGTCGGCCTTCCCTGAGGAGTTCAAGAAGGGCACTCCTTAGAGAAATGGCCTGTCTGCCCACAAGAGTAGCAACTTCCCTCTTTTCAGTTTCAGTCTCTCTTTTGTTGGAGCCTTGCCTGGGAAGGTGGTAGGTTTAAAGGCTTTTGCAGCGCCATGGCAAGGGCATTGCCTTGGATATAAGAAGGACCTACATCGGAGCAGAGGTGAATAAAATCTGACAGCTCCCCCATTTTCCTATGTGGTTGAAGTATAGACTTACAGGTGGAATTTGCATTTTCAAAGGCTAATTGCTTTGCAAGAATTTGTTTGGCCCCTGCGTTGCTGACAAGCCGATTTATGGCCTGTAAGATCCTACAGACGAAGTCTTGATATGGCTCAGCTGGGCCCTGTCTAACATTGGATAGATCCTCTGTCTTCACCCCAGCTGTGGGGAGGGCCCTCCAGGTCCTAGTACCGCAGAGGCTACTTTGCTGGTAGGCTTGTAAAGTATAGTCCACCTGGTTTTGCAAGCCAACAATTATCCCTTCACCCATGAGCATATCAGCCATGATGGGGACCTGGTGTGCAGCATTTTGCTCTGCCAGCTGACGGCATTGGTCTGCGAATTCAGATTTCCAGAGTAAGTAATCCCCCCCACTTTGGGATGCCTTTGTGAGCATTTGCCAATTGTGGGGTGCGAGCGGTGTGTTGGAGACGGTCTCGAGCAACACCAGCGTGAAAGGTGCGGTTGGCCCATACTGAGAGACTGCTGTTTTTAACTCCTTAAGCGTCTTAAAGGGGATAGGGGCATATTCCCTAAGTACTTGCCCAGAGTTGTTGGGGTCTGGATGCTCAACTATGGGGAAGCAAAGCTGCTGGCAACCCACGATATCCTCGCCCCTTTCTATGGCCTGTCGGATCCCCGGGGTCAGGCTGGTCTCTGGGAATATGCCCTTTGAGCCTGAGGTGTCTAGGAGCGGTTGCCGAGGAGGTGGCAGGTGTGTCTTGGGAGGAGGCGCCCCCCGCAGAGCGGGGGTCTCCCACTTGGGCTGGTGACCGGCCCAGGCAGGAAGAACCTCCCCCGCATCTGTGGGGGGACTTAGCTCGCCCTCATCATCCTCATCGAAAGTCCTCTCAATTAGGATTACACCGTTGCTCCTCCCTCGCCAGCTCCTGGGAGTACTCAGGTGGCAGGGGTTCATCCTGAGGCCATCCATTATGTCCCTCTCTGCCTTCCTGGGGCTGTGATTCCTCATACCCTTTAAAAGTGCTTTGTAGCTTTTCTGCCATGATCTGAGGCTGTCTTTCAAGGAGGCATGAAGCCTCTGGTCTGACCTCGAGGCTATCTCTTACCAGCCCCCAAAGGGAAAACGTTTCTACAGGAACGTTCTCCAGCCCATCAGTCATGTATCATTCGCGCAGCTGTTCTCCGATTCTTTCCCATGTGCCAGAATTAATGGTGCCCTCCTCAGGGAACCAAGGACAGACGTCCGTCTTAAACATATGCAAGAAATTTTTCTAGCTGATGTGTTTTAATGTGGCTGCTGCGAGCACGAAGCATAGCCTTAAGCATTTGCGTAAAGAGCTAATGGTCCTTTGACCCTGACTCTCCCATGTTTTACTCCCGACTATATTGTCCTTTTTCTATATGAACAAAATGGCCGATTTTGTTCCCCCTTTTCTATATTATGTTCCCTTTATGCTATATTACATTACATTGCTCCCTTACCTCCTCAGTGTAGTGGTGGCCGCCTCATCACAAAGGGAGTCTCCTTGCTGTTGGTTTGCCATCAATCCGTTCTCAGGTCGCTGAAGGTCCCTGTTCAGGCACCACCTGACGAGTTCCGCTCGTCAACCAGGGTTGCCTATGTCTGAGGGATTGGAATGGGAGATTGGAAAAGAAAGACACAGAGACAAAAGCTGGGCTCGGGTGGTCCACTGACCGCTGATGGTGGAGCAATGGCCCAGTTTATTGTTTGCACTAAGCTTATATAGAGGAGGCAATTTCCTCTTAGCAGGGAGCAATTCCCTTTTGGCTAAGGGGGTTTTGGGGAGGGAATTCCCCTAAGCAATGTTACATATGCAAATAGAAACTATCAACAAAGTTACAAGTAGAAACTGTAAGCAGGTTTGCGTGCAAGCTGCAGATCTTAGGAAACTCCGTGGTTTTGTCTTCCTCTTTCTTTGCATGGCACAGGGTTTCAGGCTCAGGGGTTCTTTCTTTACATGGCTCAAGGGGTGGTGAGATGTGTCCCAAGCTGCTTACTTAGACATGGAGGCTTGCAGCTTTGCCAGCTTGCAGCCTGCCTTCTCACAATGTGCTCCCCACAGTATAAGACATATATCCATCATTACAACATCATAGAGTATTTTCACTCCTCTAAAAAATCCTCTGTGAAATGCCTATTCATCCCTCCCCACAGCTCCAACCCCTGGCCACCACTGATCTTTTTTTTTTTTAAGATTTTTTATTGGGGGAATTGGGGAATCAGGGAAGGGAAACAGACAAGTTGCTGTCCTTTTGTTCTTCGGTCTAATTGTGGAAGACGTTGCTTCACTGGCCCATGTTGGTATTATCATTGCGCTCTTCCCGGGTGAGGTAGATCAGTCACCAGGCATTGGACAGCCACTCATGCTGGCTGCCGGCCACTCACAGTAGCTTATGGCAGCCCACTGCAGCCTCGCTGTAGCCTACACTGTCGCCGGCGACTCACGGCAGCCCAGCTCCAGGTCAAGCTGTTGTTCACCATCTTAGCTATAGAGGGCGCAGCATCACTGGCCCTCATGTGGGATCCGAACTGGGGCCCTGCTGCTCAGAGCTTGCGCTCCCAAGCAAACTCTTAACCAACGCGCCACTTGGCCGGCACCCCCATTGATCTTTTTATTGTCTCCATAGTTTTGCTGGTGATTTGTTTTTGTTTTTGTCTTAGCAATATATCCTGGACAACTTTCTCTGTCACTACCTTGTTTATCAATAGCTGTAAGGTATTCCATAGTATGGATGTGCCACAGTTTATTTAACCATTTTTCTTGTGACGAACATTAATGTTGTTTCTAATGTGTGGTTTTCTACAGAACCCAACTCTCCCAACACTGAACTGTTCTGTTGAGAATGCACATCCGACTGTTTCTTACTATACTCGTCCTCAAGTGACATCCTACAATACCTACTGCCATAGCCCTCCTCACCTGCCACCATATTCTGCTTATGACTTTCAGGTATGTTTTGAGAAAAAAAGAACTCTCCATTACCCTTGCTCTTACTCATGTTCTCTTATTTTCTCCCTAATCATGAAACCTCCTTAATTTGTATGAGGTAGCCAGTCTCTCTGTCCCTGATGGCCTTTAGCAGCCTATAAGTACTAGCATAAAGATTATGTAGGCAAACAATGATAGGATAGATGGGAAGGGTGAGAAAGACACAAGACGAGAAGAAACAGAGAGATGGAAGAAAAAGGGAAAGAAGGAAATAGGATCAAGGTGTCCCAAATTGCCTTGACCTACACCAAGGAGAAGATGATACTCATTAGTACCTCACCATGGAACCCTGTCCAACAGTGGCTTTTTGCATTTCTCTGCCTCAGGGAGGGGCCTGGTCCTGCTCCTTAATATAAGGACATTCTGAGCTACACAAGGGTTTGAATCATATCTATAAGTTGCTTCCTTTTCTCTAGACTTTCTAACTAAACTACACATAGAAAATATTTTTTTTATAATAACCCCCTCCCCTTTGTTGTCCTGTTTTCACATAGGTCAGGAATAGTGTTACCAAATTTGCACTTTCCTCTTTTCCTTTTGAGCTAAGACTAGAGCACAGAAAAACAGAACCAAAAATTGTGCTTAATTAAAAGGGATTCATTGTGTACAGAGCACTGAACTAGGCACTTCAGGAAAACAAAATGGTACTTTAGGCATTTATAGCGATTGTAATGTAAACCCTTGACCACAGAAGAGTGGGATTATACTAAAATCTGGTTAATTCAAAATTTGGGGACCAAAGGAGATACCGCTGAAGGAAGGGAAGCTCATAATGAATTTACTTCCATTGACTAAGAGTCCATAGATGCTCGAAGGGGACATAAAAGCATGAGCATTTGGGGGTGCTTCTAATTAAGCACTACTTTAGAAATGCAAAACCCTTGGATAAATTAATCTCAGCTGCAGATTAACAAAATAATTGAAACTGAAAAACCCCATTTAGTTGAATAAAACATATTTTTGTTTTTGGTTTAGATGCTATTTGGAGGAGGTCTAGGACTCTTTATTGAAATAGTAATACACTTGACCCTTGAACAACACAGGTTTGAATTGCAAGGGTCCACTTATATGTGGATTTTTTTTCAATTAATATATACAATCAGCCATCTGTATGTCAGAGTTTTGCAACCACAGATTCAACCAACTGCAGATTGAAAACAGTATTTTTGATCTGCAGTTGGGAATATGGGGATGTGGAGGGCCAGCTGCCTGTATTGTCCTATACCATTTTATGTAAGGGACTTTAATACCCAGGGATTTTGGTATCTGTTTGAGTGGTCTTGTAACCAATCCCCTGTGGACATCAAGGGACAACTGTATATATAGTGTGGACATGGATTTGTTCACTATATAAAGTACAATGTTAGAACAAGTAGGGATCCATTAAAGCTTGGAAAAAATAATGTTAGAACTTGTTTGAATGCCTACATATTCACAGATAGACAATTCAGGGACCTTTTTAACTAAATAGATGATGTAGACTGGAAAGCACAAATATGTTCAAAAAGTGCACAGATAATTTCAGTAGTAATAGAGGCAAAAAAGTAATCCTCTAAGAGAATGCAAGGATGTTGAAGCTAACACAAGGACGGTCGCCATTCTTTTGGGGCCCCTGTAATAAAAAGTCACCCATTGATTTTAGGAATGTTCACTTTATAATAAGCCCCATAAGTAGGAACAATAATCTCCCTGGTGATGGTTGCTGCAAACTCCAATATAGGAAGCCCCTCTTTAGGGTACAGAGCCATCTCTTTCTCCATCATTCCTAATTCAAACACTACCCCCAGGGATGAAAGCAAGATTGACGATGCCAGTGGTGACTCAAGCTGTTGGTTTCAGTTCAGTCAGTGTTTACTCTGTGTTCCCATGAGCCAGGCACTATGCTAGGAGCTGTGGATAGACAGATTGAATGAGACATCGGCCCTGTGTTAGGAATGAGACATAGTCCTTAGACCTGAGGGGGTGGCCGGGATCAGCAGTGGGGACAAAAAAGTATTTTTGTCCCAGAGTGTTACGGAAACCCAGAAACAGGGTAAGTGACTCAGTAAAGAGATCCAAATCTAGCCACCTCACCCAGACCTATACTGTGAGCTCATAGCAAGGCCTTCAGGGGTTTGTGGAGGCCTCTAATATTAATAACAGCTCCTAAGCATTGAGTTTGGTACTTACTATGTACCAAGCATTATGCTATGTGCTTTACGGATATCATCTCACTTAGTCCTTTGAGGGAAATACTTTTGTCGTTGCCGCTTTTAAGATGAGAGGACTAAGTCATGGAGAAAGTAAGTGACTTCCCCAAAGTTACAGAGATGGTAAGTGGAGGAACAAGGATTTGTATCCAGGTCTGTCTGACTCCAGAGACTGGCTTGAGGATTCTTTGGAAAAGCTGTAAATCTGAGCACAACATAGATCTTTCCCCTAGTTAATTTTAGGATATTTATACTTTTTACTGATTTAAATTATGGGGTTCCTAACCATGACTCAGAAAGCGTCTCTTAATACATCATTAAATTGCTCCGCACTACAGGGGCTCCTGGGACACTTCTTATACATTCTTTCCCTAGGTTCGAGCTCTCTTTTGTATTCCCTTTTTGGAGATGTTATAGCTGTATGGTGAAGTTTTGAGGGGTATCTTAAGTGATTTGTTTCCCTCTAGAACTCAAATGGTGTTTCATTCCAGTGTTGAGTTGAGCTTTCTTTTGTTCACCAAGTTCTATTCCCTTATAGTTTCATAGGAGGAAATACCAGTCTTTACTCAAGAAAGCCAAGGGGATGGGGGAACATCTGCTTATGTTTCCAGATAAATAGAAAGCAGTCAGCAAAATATACACCAGCTCTGACAATAAAACCACCAGAGACACAGACCGATCTCCCACCCTCCTTTCTGAGGGAACAAAAAAAGCAAGAACTATCTACGCACTTCTCAGATTGTAAAAGAGCCCAAATTGTAGCAGGAAAACTTACCTTTCTAGACTTTCTTCTGAATGACTTCCCCATTCTGGTCATTTCCAAATAGGACTATTTATGTGACTTAGAGTTTGAAGATTTCTGCTTCCTTTTTACCCCAGGCTAATAGAAGAAAGAGGAAAGAGATTTATAGGGTTTTGTTTGAAGCTCTCAAAGTCATACCCTTACTAGGTAGCTGTCCAGTTGGAAAGCTTGGGAAACATTTCTTGTGGTCAGACACGAGTGAACACTTGGATCTGGTCAGCTGGCCCTGAGGATGCTGTGAGTGCTGAGCTTGGAGAAACAGGACGCTTTCAAACATTAAGCTCCATGGTGACCTTGCTTCTGATAAATTCCCCAACCCCCAAAGCAGGAAGGAGATGAACTGAGACTACTTTGCCACCTTACTCAGCTCCCCAACACTCATTTCTCTTGCCCGTCACACTCATTTCCTCATTACTTGTCCTTCAGCTTCAGCCAACTAGTCCAAAGTCTGTCAGGTCGAAAGCATCAGTCTCTAGTTCCGCTGGGAAAGTCAACCCAGCATAGCTTTATGTAAACCCCTTAAGGATTCCAGCTATATTTCCCAGTCTGACCTGCTGGTCCAGTCCTTGTACTTCACTCTAACCATGCACTGGTCTCTTCCCTGTACATTTGGTGAATTGCCAAGTTTAGCTTAAAACAAATCTCAGCCTATGCAAAATGTAAGCACCACCGTTTATGCTCCTTATTCAATCACATGAAGGTACACACTAGGTTTCATCTTAGCCATGAAAAATGACCCATTATAAATCGGGCCCATTTAATGAAAGGCTTGCTTTAATGCTGGGGGAGGCGGTGCATGGCACAGGTTGCTGAGAGCCTTAGAAGGTGTTGCTGCTACCACTCAACTTTTTCTCTTTATTTTTCCTCTCCAACTAAGATTTTCCTTTCTTCTCCCCCTTTCTCTGGTTTCTGATTCCCAACTCCCCCCTTCTTCCTCTTCCTTTTAGCCCAATGGAGATCTTCATCTCTCCTGGCTTTGCTTTCTGGGGCAGAAACAGAGGGGGAATGCAAAGAACCAGGAGATCCTTGATTTTCCCTTAGGGACACAGCATCTCTTGCTGGTAAACTTGATCACCTGGCCAGGGCTCTTTTGGGAGTCCCTGTCTCACAGTGCTGAAGAGAGAAGCCTGCTGTGACAGAAGTGCACATTGGTTTTGAAGAGTGTAGGTCAGCCATCCAGCAGAGAGGGGGCAGGCTAAGATGGGAGAGGAAAAAAGCCAGGTGTGTCCTAAAAAGGTGGTGCTTCTCTTGTAGTCCCATCAGCCGGTAGGTTACCCCAGCGTCTAAGCAGCAGCTCAGGAATCTCGAGCTGATTAGGCCCAGCAATAGGCTCTTTAGATGCTTTTCATGCTTTGTGGTGCCAAAGGATTCAAGGCTCTGTTCTGAGCTGCCTGTCCCATTAGTCAAGTCAACTCTCAGGCAGGAATCGAAATGTACCAGGCCAGTTCCCCAGCTGCAACAAAAGCAGATCTTTCCCAAGGTTTCCTACCTGTTACTAGGAAACTACTCACTGGTACTGTGGGCCTTCCCCTGACACACACACACACACACACCAAACCCAAACCCCAAGGGTTTGTGGATTGCAGCCAGTGAGCTACCTAGCTCTGACAGGAGCCCTTCAATTTTATCCTTAAGACTCCCAGCATCCTTAAAGAGAAGTGAGAATCATCCTACCTCCTTCCCCCCAATACTTCCCAAACATGAAACTGAGAAGTGAAAACTGAAGGCCGTTGTATCATCATCCCCTTTTATTATGAAAGTGTACAACTGCCCACAGCATCTGCTGCCCACAGAGGCCTTTTAATGCATCTCAGGATAGAACTGCCTTTAGCTCCACTGTAGGAAACTTGCCCCTACCTTCTGTGGCTGGGAACACCTAAAAGCAGCCTCCTGACACTCACCATCCTGAAGAGGGATTTAGAAGGGCAGAGAGTACCATACCCCCGGCACAGAATTCTTGTCCCTAATGGGTTTTTGCTCTCCTCTCTGGTTAAGAGAACAGTGCTCTTAGTTGAAGAAAGCAACTAAGTAGGTACCCAATAAATGTTGAATGAGTGACTATGAGGAAAGGAGAGAAGGAAAAATAGAGACTTCTGGGACGTGGAGTTGAAAACTAGGAAATCACAATACTGATGTCTTTAAGAACGCATATCTTCTTGGAGGGAGAAAAACATTTGAGATTTTAGAGAGGAATCTGTCTTGTTTCAAGTCTACTGCCTCAAGTTGTTTCGCCTTGAATGGCTCTGCAGCTTCTATGACCCTGTCATTCCTTCACTCAGGGTAAAATAATGGGTGGGGTGGGAGGAGGGGGTGGATGATGGCAGCTACAATCTCTTCTCAGTCCTAACATTATGTGGTCTCAAGAAAGACCTAGAAATCTGGACATACCATTCTAAGGAGTGCAGTGGTCAGGACTGGGGATAAAGAGAATCAGACACTGGTCTCAGACTTCAGAAACCTCATGTCAAGGCTGACTCTCGATTGTTGGAAAATGACATGATCTCCTCAGACTCTGGCCAGCAGAAGAAAGTAAGGCATGTCCTCTCCAGCACTTGAACTCCAGAAATTTTGGTGTGAGTCTTTTTTTTTTTTAATATACCAGTTCCTCCTAGAGTCGAGACACAACAGAAAATTACAGTTCTCCAGCCCTGTTTGTTGACTTATATTTGCTCTTCCTGAGAGCCTAAAACTGGCCTCTTTCCTCTTGCCATCTCTGTAGCTCCCTCCAGCCTTCAGGCCTCAGCCATATTCCACTACTGAAGCAAGACAACAGTCTCCACAAGGTGTAACCATATTCTTTGAAAATAGATTTCATTTAAAAAAAAAACATGCTAAGTTCATCTTACATACTCCTGAAGTTATAGTCATTCATTCGACATTTATTGAGTACCTACTACTTGCCAAACTCTGTTTTGTGCCCTGCGGGGATACACCAATGAACAAAACAGGCCAACTCTCCTTGAGCAGGAAAATCATTAGGGTCAAGGGTATACATGAGCCAGGGAAACAGAAGTGGCAAATGACTGCTAACATGCCAATTCACTGGGTATTTCTTAAATCTAAATCTGCTTCCTTCCCAAAGACCACCAAAGTTAGACAACACAAAGTAAAATTGAATCCTCAGTGTCTCTGCAACCTGACAGATTGCTCCTATTTCTTATCATTGGTATTCCCAACTCCAAGCCTTTGCTCCTCTTTGTTCTCCAATCTACCCTGCCCTTGGAGGTGGTGGACTTGTTAAGATGAAATCAAAATTGTTGGACTTAAAGTAAGAGCACAGATCCAAGAAAGCACTTAACCACTCTGACCTTAGTTTTTGTTTTGTTTATAAGATGGGCTCTGTGATGTATGCTTGTAGCAAAGACTTTCCCAGGTACTAATGACTTAACCTCAAATGTTCTTAAGGCCCAACTACCTTTTTGAAGACTATTTCAGATACTGTTGCCATAGCTCAGGGAGAGGTATTGAAGGCTTGAGTTATAAACACGGAAAAGGGGTTCAAAGGGAGGGGTATGAGGAGCCCAAGATATCTCTGCAGGAGCTTCACTGCCTGAGTGACTGGGAGAAAGTGGGATCAGCTCAGTTTCATGCCCCTCAGTAACTTTGTGAGGTTTCTTGGTTGTTCCAAACACAAACCAACTTGGCCTCTATTCATTTTCAAATAACAACTGACTTTGGGGAATTGCAACCTCACTGCCTAAACTGATGTTTTATTTTCATTACACAGCATTCTGGTGTCTTTCCATCCTCCCCTCCCTCTGGACTTTCTGAGGAGCCCCAGTCTGCCTCTCCTTCACCCAGCTACATGTGGTCCTCCAGCGCACCACCCCGTTACTGTCCATCCTACTACCCACCCGTTGAAAAGCCACCACCTTACAGCCCCTAAAAATGAATGCTTGCCAGCTATTGGGATTATTGTGGCTTTTGTATGTGCTTTAGTGAAGTGTGTAGGGTACACAATTTAAAATGTGATTCTTATGCATAGTTTCAAGTTTTACAACAGCCTGCCAGGCAGGCTAGGGAAAGATAGAAATGAAGCTTATCCGTTATCAGTGCCAAGCAGGAGTGGCTAGGCTGAACCCAGGACTTCCAAGAAGGGCAGTGCACACAATCTAAGGCTGGGGAGCCAGCCCAGCAAGACGCTTGTCATGTTTGGAGATGCATTACCCCATGGCTCTGCCTCTGTATTCAGCAGAAGCGTGGTTGTCACGTTTCATTTTGTGTAAGTAAGTGTTGTTCTCAGGCCCTTGGCAGATTGCCACTCTAGTACCTTAAAGTACCTGGCTTCTAGGCCCTATTTTTCCCTACCACTAAAGTCAGTTCCTAAGAAGTTTCCAAGATGAGGGGGCTACACTGTAGTTCCAATAGAGAGTCCTGGCTAGGATTTTGTTTGCTTGTGTTTGGACGTTGGAAAAAGCTGCCCATCACTCTTACTCCTTTCTTCTCTGTATTGTAAAAATGGCTGTCACGATCATTCAGTTCAGCTTCTGTTACTGGTACCTCCCAAAGGGAAAAGTACAATATTCCAAGTAGTGGGGAACAGGATTGTTCTAGAAGCACTGAAATACAGAGCAACATATGGTATGTTTTAAATAGATCTGTTATACATGTGATAACTTAGGAGACAGTGGTTCTGCTACATGTTGCAGTTATTACAAAATACATTTGCTACAGGAGATATAAATCTTATGGTTAAATTTCAGAGTTAAAAATGATAGATTAGGTTATTGGGTAGTGATATGAATTATTAATCTTTGTGACTATTTAATCTTCACATGTTGTGCTTCAACCCCAGCAAACAGCACATATCCTGCACCCTACCCCCAAAGAATCATCTGTATTTTAATGCTACTGTTCTTATTGGTCCCTTTTTCTACTGAGACCAATCATGACAGCATACAAGATTATGAAGTGTTACAATGCTGCTTTAAGTCTGCAAAACCTCAAATGTAACCAACTCTACAAATTCTTAAGTGTTATTGTAGATTTAAAATGCATCTGGCACATTGTGGTAGGTATTTGTAGAATTCTTTTAATTATACATAGTTTTAAACCATCAACCTGATGGATTTAACACTTTAGCACCCATGCCTTCACTTTAAAACTAACACTTTTGTGTGATCTTATGTTAACCTGAGAAATGACTGATTTAAAGGAAGATGAATAATCCTACCCTTGTATAATGTAAAAATACAGGAGGGTACCGAAAGACAGTTCTGCAAACACAGAACACATACTGGAAAATTTTCCAGCCAATTTTGCTACCTCCTGACCTGATAGATTAGAAGCAGTAGGCAAATGCTGGTGCTCCCATCTACCTTGTAGACACCCAGCCGTCAAGAATTATCAAGGCACAAGTGCACTCATGGTTCACAGTAAATGTTTGCAAACCATTCAATTTAGCTTTCAGCATCATGAACGATGCCTCATCCAGATTTCAAATCTGAAAACTATAATCCTTTTGTTACATAAAATTACTATTATTTCCTACAGTTCTGAGCAGATTAAAATTCTATTGGATTTCAAAAAGGGACTAATAACCTATTCACTTACAATATAAATATCAACTTGTAATACTCAGTGATTTTTTTTACTGTTTACACTTTACCTTTTGCTTTAGTGAATGTATGAGTATTTAGTTTTTTTAAAAGACACAATTACAGCATATCCTACATTTATCACATTTCTTAGTGTTAAGATTCTGACTCATTTTTATGTATTTTTCTTACTTTACAAAATAAAACGGTATAGATTTTGTAACTTAATTTGAGTTTTATTATACTGAATTATATAAAGTGCATGTTACCTTAGAAAAAATACTTGATTTACTCTTTTGCGAAACCATTTGCTGTAATGAGGGAATCTGTACTTCCAATATGTACCTTGACTGCATTTTGTAACATTTACTGCTTTACTCCTAATTCTGCTTTAAAGTATTGAGCTGGGCATGAAACATTAAAATATTAATCCAGGACCGTATAAACTGGATGTTGCTTTAAATCTGTATCACTGCCATGTTGGAAACCCAGACTGCTTTTGTGATGTTTCAAATGAATAAAACTATACTCCTCCTTAACTGCTTACATGCGTCTTTATGGAATCTACAAAAGTGTCACAAACTCTATAAAGTGACTGACAGCAGCTGACTCACTTTTGACTATTATGGTTCAAGATACCTTGGGCATGCGAATAACCAACTTATAAAACCTATTGGGAAATTTTATCATGCTGTCATCAGAAATATAGCTCCAATCTCCTGCTACAGAAATTGAAAAACAAAAGAATGTAAATCTATATAATTTCTGAAAGACAATCTTGTAAAAGATGAACTCAAAAATCAGAATTAAAAATTTTATTTTTGCCATAAGAAGCTCTACGAACTAATATCAGGTAACAGTTAATGAAAAGTAGAACTTAAAGTCATGATAGGGAAGATTATACAAGTATGATTACAGTATTGGGTGGAAATGAACAAGGTTTCATATGACTGACAGAGGTGAGGAATTCAATACTGTTGAATTAGCAATTATTTCTTTAGAATATGCAAGTCTTGACCATACAAAATATCTTGATCATTTTTGCCATGTTTTATCTTTTTGGTACAATGGGAAAAAATACAGCATCAATTCCTCATAGTAGTTGTATGTGGGGGATCATTACCACCAAAATGATAATCATTTAAAATATATTTTAAAGTGAATCTTCCAAGATTGCTATGGCATTTTAAAATCTTTGCTTAGTTTGAGCATTTTCACTTTTTGTCATCTCTTTTAACAAATTGCTATTTCAAACAGTTCCTATCCAGAATATTTACAGATAATTTATCATAGGAGCAAATCTAAAGCCAACCTGAAAGGAAAAAATGGAGTTCAATAGCGAACAAACTAAATATAAAATAGGAAAACCACATGATCAGTTTTAAGCAGCATCTTGCTGCAGATTTCCAGCCCAATAAATACTGGGAGTGAAAGGTTTTAGCCCCAAAGGAGTAGTCCACATGAATGCCAAACTCTGGATGAAGAAACCTTTAAAAAACTGAAGACCCTGACATACATGAAAGTAGGAGTCTTCTGGCAAAAATACAATTTAATTTTCCAGTTTTTCTCCTAAAAAAATCCAGAAGATACCTTCAGTAGGCACAGTTTAAATTTCATACTCAGAATTTACATATAGCACAGCAGCAGCAAAAAAAAAATTATATCCATATTACTCAGGATGGATAGTTTTCCATTATAAAATTAATTCCTGGTTTGTTATAACAGTCTTGTAGAAACTACCAAATTTTTTGACAACAAACTAATTTACCTAGCAGGTAAGTCTGAAAGGTCTGGAAACTCTGCTGGCATCAGTAATCATTCACACTTGTAGAAGTAATTTTGTCTAACTGGTTGAAATAGCATTAATGAAACTCAAATTTCCACTGAAAATATTTCAGAATTCACCCTATAGCCAAAGAGTGGTATAAATATCTACACAGAAAGGAAACTGATATTGTGATTCCAGAAATCACAAGACTCTTAAGTTAAAAGGTAATTTAAAATCTTCCAAGGCTTAGTTTACAAAATGGTTTGTAGGTCTAGACTCACAGAACAGAAAACAGATGCACATCATTCTAGTCCTCAGTAAGCAAGATTATTTTTCTTTCTCCTTGTATTATTGCAAGTACTGATGCCTGATACCCTCAACTACCAACTTAAGAAACACTGAAACCATTACCTTCAAATCTAGCTTACCATCAGAATGATGTATACATGAGAAATTATGATTAAAGCTGTAAGTTCAAAGTCAAGAAATAGACTATTTTCAAAAATACATGGTTAAGGAGAAAGAAAATATCTATGCTGAATTAAGAAATACTTAAGTAAGGTTACAAATGACTAATAACTATGCACAACAATCTTTTCAGTACCTATTAATTTTTTTCCTTTGCAAAAAGTCATTTATGGAAGTTCAACAAGTTAATCTTGTTATAAATGCTAGGTTATATATTTGTTCCAACCTGCTTCCTTTTAGTACTAGCACTTCAGTAAGTTTTTACTTTATTTTCAAAATGTTTAAATATGTGTCATTTAAAAAAAAGGAAGGTGGTATTTATTGTTCTCAAGATAAATGGGAATCAACAAGCCTATATTACATTCCATATATAGTTTCTGATTGCTATAATACTGCAGCAACTTGCAGATGGAATGGAACTTATTTTAGAAGGGGTAAAACCTAAAAGGTCTTCTTGAAAGGAAAATACTGGATCACTGATTCAACTATTTAAAATGAAAGCTTCCTATTAGAGATTCTAATATGAACATTTAAAAATATATGCCAGTAGCCTCCCACAAAATACGTAGGAGTCTCATTTCTGGAATCTATCATGTATAAAGATTTATACAGAATTAAAGATTTATTTGGTGGCTTTCAGATTCAAAATTTGAAAAAAAAATGAGAATATTTTTAACCCTAATGAGCAAAAAGGCAATCTCCTTTCACTCCACTCTGTATCATGTTTAAGAGCAAGAAAAAAAAAAGTGACAAAACTTTTCATATCCTGTATGCATTACAAATATTAGTATTTTTGCCCACAGGTACCACACAGAAAAGGTACAATATATATACAGTAGTCCGGCCACCAAAGTTTTTTCCAAACTATGACAATAATATCAAGATTTAATTCTGATTAGCTAAAACTAATTAATTCTTCAGATGAGACTTGTCTGCGTAGCCATTTTCATGGGGGAAGGCAGGAGGTTGCTATTCATTTAGACTAGCAGAATACACAACCAGGCAGACTTATTCTGAAATTTTCCAGAACAACTTTAGAAGTTCATGTTTACTTTTTATGCCACATACAAGACACAACACACATTTATAGTCTCAATATTAAGAAAATTGAGAATTCAGCAGTAAAGTGCTAACAGAAGGGGAAAGTTGTAAGATATACTAAGGTATGCTAATAACTCCAGTTATTTTCAAAGAACATTCAGACTGCTTCAAATTCTATTCAGGAAACTATCTCTCCAAGCTTTTTTTTTTTTTTTGCCTTTTAAATGAGCTGAAAACTAACTATATAAACAAATACTTTGGGGAGGGCTTCTCCATTTCTACTCAAACTTTCACAAGGATTTGCTTCTAAAAATTATCAACAAATAATCCAACTAAACTACCTTCAGATGATGTAGCAGATCAAATTAACTCATTTTCAACTTAATGTGTTTTATAGGTCTTCTGAAAGCCCTGCCCCTTAACCCAATCCAAAACTTTCTGATACTTCAAAGTTCAGTAAGATTCTGGTATTATAAATTCAAACTCAGTGCTGCCATCTGTTACATTCTGTTTAAAAATTGAATCATTTTCCTGCTGAATAAAAATATCTTCCCAGGTCATTGGCTTGTTCTGAGGAGTAGATGTGGTCCCTACTGGAGGTTCTTTCCCAGCATCAACTTTATACCCAATACCATCATCCTTCATTACAGGCACAGTGCCAGACCTATCAGAAAGATAAGCATATTGTCTGATCTGTAAAGACCTGCATGGATGTAAACGATAAAGCTTTGATTCTCCAGAAGGATCTTGACTATGAACTGACTTTATGTGTGAAGACATAAACTGATAGTTGATGAAAGATTTGCCACAGGCCAAACATTGATACCTTCGTTCCCCTGTGTGATGAATTTCATGCTTCGTGCGATATTCTGCAAGAGGAAATACCTTCTCACAGTAACGGCAAGGATACTTCTTTTCCCAAGAATGAATGTTAAAATGTCTCCGCAAGCTTGTCAGACAGACATACGACCTTTTGCATACAATACAGATATAATAGACCCTTCCATCTACTATTAACTCATAGTGATCATCATGTTTTACTTTCATACGTTTGCTTGTCGTCTCACTGCTAGATGTTTTTGGTATCTCATTCTCAATTCTGGCATCCCCTTCATCAGGGTCATCTTTGACGGGGATCACTATGTCATAGGTATCTTCACCAATATTTGCATAAACCTTGCAACCGGTGGACAAGCCTTCAATTTCAGTAGCTGTATCTAAAGTAATGATCTTCTGACCCTCCATTAGATGTTTTGATTCTAAACCTGGATCATTAGTGTTTCTAGTAATTATATCTGAAATTTTTAAAGAATTGGAAAGTGGCTCTTGAAGAAGTGTAGGAATCTGCATCTTCTGTATCAGTGATCCATCAAAAGTAGAATTTTGGGGAATATCAGCCTGTGGGACCAAAGATGTATTACTGACGGCCGAATCTGGACTAGAGCTAATAGTGTCATCATCATCATCTATAATTTCCTCCTCCTCCTCTTCATTGGACTTGTTTCCTGTTAAAACAGCACTATTTGGTGTCTGCTGATTCTGCACAAGTAAATTGATTGAAGGAGACATATGATTTGGAAGTGAAGGACTGACATTTGGTGATGTAGCAAGTGGTGTCTGATTTAACAAAATAACATTAGGAGTCAGATGCGTTGGGGCCGAAGATACCAGCAATTTTTCACTTCCTTGTGTTTGGCTCAGCGTTGCCTGATTCACAGGAGTAGGAAGTTTCTGAGTAGGTGTGACATTTTTTAAAGGGGGAGAGTTATTGCTAGCACAAGGTGCGACATCTGAAATAGCAACAGAGCCTGGGTTAGGCTGGACCTGTGCCACTGCATTGGCACTTGGCAAAGTCTCCTTTGCAGGCAGAATCTCAGAGCAGAAAATGACGTCATCATCATCATCATCTGAATCAGTAACAATGATCTTTTTTGTCTCATAATCTTCAGCAGATAAGGAAAAAGACTCTGTTATAATAGGCATTACAGTGGCCCCATTATCTTGGGCTTCATCTTTTGATTTTTGTATTTCAAGGTTCTTGTCACTAGAACAAAGAGGTAAGGTTTCTGCATTACCATCCTGAGCTGTTCCTGAGATGCTTTTAACCTGTGACAATGGGACACCAAGCTCTGCTATAAATTTAACTCCTAACAACTGACCTGATTTAATTAACTCATCAAGTAAATCTGATCTAACACGAACAATTTTAGAACTATAGATATAATTGAGAATTTCTGCAAAGATCTCCGCTCTTATAAAGCTCAGTT